TCCCTACTTTCCCAGTTGCTAACTTCTCAGTACTACCAAAGCAATATGCTCCTCTCTCCATTAGAACGCCTACCAAACATATAAGGTTTTTTTCTTTACCTGCCTGCCTCTCAAACTAAACCATTAGCTCTTCTAGGGCAACAACTAGGTTTTATCCATCTTTATATCCCCAGCACCTGGTGCCTAGTAGGCATTCAATAAAGGATTGTAGAAGAAATGGAGAAAGCGCGATCTCCAAATTAAGCAAAAAAAAAAAAAGTCAATTTAAAAAATATACTTGGCTTTTTACCTACGACCCTAGACAACGCCTGCAGAGTTAGGTTGAAGCCAAGTAGGGCCAGGAGGTTGGCAGATGGAGGAATATCCACTTGAGGACTTTTTCAATTACGTGCTGAGAAGTGCCAGTATATGGCTTTCGATGCAATCCTGTTCAGAGGCAGGGGTAAGGACAAGACTTCTAATCTCTTCCAACCCTAGGACCCCAGAATTCCTTTAATCAGTGAGATATCGCTTTGGGGAGCCCAGGTACCCTAGATGACGCTCACCTTCCCGTTCGTGGGAGGCTCCTGGATGTAAATGTTGCTCATGCTGGTCAGCGCTCAGGACTCTGCTCCTAAGTGGGGATGAGAGCGAACGGTCGATAACTAAAGCTGTCCACCTATCGGTACACGCTTCCTTAAATCGGGAGGTCGTGGAAAGCTCCAACCTGTCAAAATCCCGCAAGGCAGCGACACCAAACGCTCTCCTTCTAAAGCCAGCGCCTCACGAATGCTGCCATGTTGCTCCCGGACCCGAGCACCGCTAATCCTGAGAAGGGGGAATTCCAGTAGCCTCCAGGGAATCGAGAAAAAGATTTTTAAGCCCCTATAGATTAATTTAATTTGTATTACAATTTTTAAGACAACAATTCGTAAGTCTTGGTGTTGTTTACTTCACTCCACGCGTGTGCAAATCCATTAAACCCCTGGAAGCTGGCAGTAATGGTTCGGACCGAGTGAGTCTACAATAGAATTCCCCCAGAAACTAGAGCAGCAGCTACTTGGTTCCGCTATCGCCGGAGACTTTTAGGGCCTTCCCCGACTGTCACCTGGGTGCCGCGGCGCCGGTGGGAGGAAGAAGCCGTCCTAGCTGTGTGTTGTCCTCGCGGCCAGCGGGAAGCGAGCACCCTCTCGAAAGCCCAGGGGTCCCGAGACCCCTCTTACCAGCGCCATGGCAGTTCCAGGTAAAGACCCAGGGTCTGGGCGAGGGAGGGAGCGGGTAAGGTAGGGTGGAGTGCGCTGGGGTAAGGAATAGAGCTCAAAGGCGAAGGCGTTAAAATTAGCAGGTTTGCTTGGTTTACGGGAAAAAGTTTACAGTCCAAAAATAAACTCTGAAGGAAAGAGAGAAGGAAAGAAACTATCTCCCCCACTCCAGTCAATCTCCCAGGGCACCGGATGGACCACAGGGAAAGTATATATAGGGTGGAGGAGGGGGAGGGGTGTTGCAGACAGACGAGTAATTGTAGGCCTAGGAGGCGGTTGGCCGAGGAAAACTGACCTTTAGTATAGCTTGAAAATAAAATTTGAGGTGGCAACACCTGCGAACCCAAGTAGCCATAGGCATTGTTTGTACTGGAAGGGCCGAAATGGGCGTCTGGGGTTCTACTTCTCTCTCTTCCTTGTTGAATGTAGTTGCTGTGTGGCCTTGGACCGGTCGCTTTGCCCTTCCGGGCCTCAGTTTCTGAATCTGTAAAAGAAGGAGATTTTTTGATTTATGCGTATGGTTCCTTCCAACGCTGGTTGCAGGAGATATTTTGAGAAATATACACCGCTCCCCCCGGCCCCCCACTCACACAACTTGGAGATTCACAACGCCTATAGTATAAAAAAGATGCTGAGAATTGCTGTGGTTCAGAAGCAACTTTGCTTCCCAGTATTATTTGACCACGTTTGTTCTGTGGCAGCCTTTACTGAACTGTATTTTACAGATAGCTGTTATGGGAAGGTAGTGCTGTTCTACCAACTGCAGTTTCAGGAGGAGCAGTGGGGGGGGGGCATTGTAGGAGAGGAAAGATACACTCATTCATACACATAACTTTTTATTAAAGGCGTACTGCATGCTAGGCTCTGTGCTAGGCACTGGGAATACAGTTGCCTTTCACACTGAACTTACAATTTAGCAGTGAAAAGAAAGTACCAGAAAGTCTGACAAGTGTAAGGCAGGGAAAATACAAACACTTGAGGAGCACGTAGTAAGGGCACGTAACAGGAGACTGGAGGGACCAGAAGGACTTTCCAGAGGATGTGGCATTTAGGATGAGACCTGAAGAATTGTGGGAGGGGGAGTTGTAGCCAGAGGGACTGGATATGCAAAGGAAGAAGAAATGTGTGAGAAGACGAAATGAAAGATGTGCACTATGGATGGAACTAAGAATACAAATGGAAGAGAAGTGAGAAATTAACTAGAGCGATAACAGTAGCTAACATTTACTAAGCATTTACTGTGTGCCGGATGTGTCAGACACTGTCAAGCATTGTATTTTATCTCATTTAACATTTGCACCCACACTGTGAGTTCGGTGTTACTATTTCCATTCTACAGATGAGGAACTGAGGGACATAGAAATCAAGTAATTTGACTGAGATAGCTAGGAAGTGATGGGTCAGTCTGGCTCCTCTAGACCCCATGTGCTTATCCATTTTGCTGTGTTTTAGTATAACTTACAAGGCAATTTCCAGTTCTTACAGGATGTTTTAAGCCATGACAAGGAGTTTGGATGTTTTCCTAAGGACCATAGTAAGATATTTAAGGATTTTTAAACATTCACATTATGGAGAGAGCATTCTGGCTGCACAGTAGATTGAAGGAGAGCTAGTTTGGAGACAGAGTCGCCAGTTAGGAGTAACTCTGGTAAGCTCTGATGATGCCTCAGGGATGGTCTCATTAGAAAAGGAGAGAAGCAGGGCTTCCCTGGTGGCGCAGTGGTTGAGAGCCCGCCTGCCGATGCAGGGGACACGGGTTCGTGCCCCGGTCCGGGAAGATCCCGCATGCCGCGGAGCGGCTGGGCCCGTGAGCCACGGCCGCTGAGCCTGCGCGTCCGGAGCTCTATGCTCTGCAACGGGAGAGGCCACAGTAGTGAGAGGCCCGCGTACCGCAAAAAAAATAAAAAAAGAAAAGGAGAGAAGCAGATAGATTGGAGATATATTTCTGGTGGTAGAATCACTGGGAATCAGCGATACGATATATTCACTGTAGGTAAGATGGGAAATGAGGTATACCTGGGTTTCACTGTTAGTGGGGCTGGGTGGGGCTATTTACTAATATAGGCAACACCTGAGAAGGAACAGTATTTAGGGGGATGATGATGACTTCAGTTGGGGCTTGTGTTGAGATGTACTCAAGGAATGGAAATATCTAATAGTAAGAGATAGGAATGGAAATATCTAATAGACACTAAGAGAGAAAATTTGTAGCTTAGGAAGGAAGCCAGAATCAAAGAACAATTTGGTATCATCCACACATGTAATAGGCCATGGGAATGGAAGCCTTTGCTCAGGTGGAGTGCATAGAGTGTGGAGGGAAGTTCTGTGGCTGGAGCCCGGAGAATATCAACATTATAAGGGGCCAGCAGAGGAAGTCCAGTCTGCACAGTAGATTGCCTAGGCATCCTGATAGGCCAAGTCAGCCCTGATGACTTTGGCCACACACAAATGCATCCAGAGTTGACTTGCTGTCACTGTTGGTTTCATTATTTGAGCAAGCATTTTGAGCATCTACATGGTATAGGTATGTCACAATCTGTGTCCTCATAAAACTTAAGTCTAGTAATGAAAATGTAATGTGCTGCTTAAGAAAGAAGACAAAAGTGATTTTTTAAAGTCCTTATTGAAATTCCCTTAAACTTAGACTAGTGTTATAGATATGTTAACCTTCTTTCAATTCAAAATAATGCTTCAAAGTGTAATAATCTTAAATTGTGCCATTAAGCTAGATGGTAAGACATAAACTGTTTAAACCCAGAAAAAATTGAAATAATAGGCATGACAGCACTGTAAAAGTACAATGCAAGTGCCGTTAGAAAATACGGAAAATGTTAAGGTAATTTCTTGGATGATTGATCCAGGCAGTGTATTACAGGAAAATAGGGCTCCATCAGAAATCTTTGGAGATAATCATCAAGCAGGACAAGAATGCTCTTTTATTTTTAGGTATAATGCTCATATGGATCCAGCATGGCATTTTTTGGGTGGTTCTGCTAGTGATTATTACAAGGTATGACTATAAAGTACTGAGGTTGCTTTCCACAAATGATAATCAGCCTCATCTATTTTATGGTCACCTACTTTAGCTGTTTTTCCATAGCAGTGTGTGTAACTATTGTGTAGGTAACACAGTGAAATGTGTACTCTGTTACTTAGAGAAATCATAGACTTATAGTTGTTATTAAAGAAATGACATTTAAAGACACTGAAACTAAGTGAAGTTTACTTTCTTTTAAAACTGCTTTTACCATTCACAGTTGTTGAAATTAGTTCTGACATTCATGTTAATAATTAACCATTCCCAATGAAGAGTTACCTGGCACAAGTGGCAATGTATGTTATTGATGTGGTTGGCAGGAAAACTTTCTCTGTCTCTCTGTCTCTCTGTCTGTCTCTGTCTCTCTCTCCCTCTCTCCCTCCCTCTCCCTCTCACTCCCTCCCTCCTTCAGTGAAATCTATATAGCCAAGATAGTGAATTTCCTATAGCCAAATTAACATTACATTCGGCTATCAAAGTGTGTCAAATTCTTAACAGGTTACTATTGCAACTTAGTAATAGAAGGATTCTAAATTATGCTACATCCAAATTCTTTTCACTCCTAAACTATACTATACACAATTTCTTTTTTCTCTAGTCTATGTGGCACGTTTATCCTGAAATACTTTTCCTAAGTCATGTACCTGATCCTGTCATTCCTGGGAGACAGGAACTTAATTCTTGACCCATATCTGTGAATTTTGTATTTCTTTTCAAGCACCTTAACCTTTCAGAGGCTCAGTTTCCTTGTCTCTGTGGTGAAGGAGTTGATGACTAAGCTTTCCTTCGCTTCTAAACTGTTATAATGCCAAAGCTCCCCATCTCTGCAAGAATGAAGTACACACTTCCTAAGCACAGCCGAAATCACTCTTGCTGCCCTTTCCTCCCACCACTGCTCTCATGCATTCTGCAGTCTTCTGACCTGGCCAACTATTCTCAGAACCTCTGTGCTTTTCTACCTACACGCTTTTGTTATCACTGTCCCTGCTCTATTGTCCATGTCTACCTGCGGGAAGCTTTCCTGATCTCTCAGTGGAAAGTTATGCCAGCCAGTTCTTCCTGCTTACTAATGGAGCTATATGTCTTTAAACTGGCACAGTCTAGCATGCCTTACAGCTGTGGATGCATTAGCCTAGATAACCTAGTATATTGTAAGTTTCCTCTAGTATAGGAACTTTATTCACGTTTACGGTTTCTCTCACATCTATTTCAGAGTTATGCCTGTTATAGGTAAATAAATAGGTAAATAATATTTAGAGGGATGATCACTAGAATTGCTGCTGAGCAGAATCTGTTACTAAAGTAAACAGACTAAACTAGACAGCAGTCTTGATTCTGTTTCATTAGATAGTGAATTAAACTTCTCCATGTCTCTTCTTATCTTAAACTGGTAATATCTATAGCCTTTTTCTTCACAGGTTATTTGTATTTTGTGAGGCAAGCAAGTGAAAGCATTTTATACATTTACTTAAATGTTAGCTCTTTCATGCCAGTAGTTTAAAATAAGCAATTCTTTGATTTACTTTTATCTCTTCTTTTGAGGGTCAAATGATTATGAAGGCATTTTTAACTGAAGGTGGGGACATCTGCTCTTTTAAAATGTTTTACATCAGGGAACTCATTTAACCTATTTTTTTGTATGCAGAGAATTTTTTATTTCTGCTGTTCTTTCTGTTTTGCCTTCAGTACAATCTTTGGGGATCCCAAAGAAAGGATTATATCTATAAATTCTTAATATAAAGCAGTGGAAAAGTTTAAATACATGGCATTTTACTCTGCATTCAACTTTAGCAGAGTACATATGCTATATACATATTATGTAGCACCTCTATGGTATAAAATCTGGCCACGATTTGAATTTTAAAAGCAGAAGAAATTGAAGTTATCTTTAAGCGTCACCAAATTATAACTAAAATTATTATTGAGTAACCAAATGTAAAATTT